AGACAATGCACGTTTGGCGGCAAGGGAGCAATGATGCGGATGCGGTGGCAAAGCACGCCACGTCGCGGCACCCAGTCGACATAGAAGCGGTTGGAGGTTTCACGATTCGGTTTGAATGTTCGTGCATACCGTGTCTTCTCTATGCATATCCTCCCCAAGTGTTCTTCTCTGCGGGCTTTGGGACTTTCGGGATGTTGAGTACCTCAAACCTCCTTGCGGTCCCCCCAGGGTCGGTTTACAGCACGATTGGCGGCATTTGAGCACGTTTTGGATCTGCGTTCCTTTCCGGGTGTCCTGGGCCCAGGGGCCTCTGGCTGGAATGCACCGCCAGTCGAAACCCCGAGTGGATTGCACTCGAGTGCGGTAATGTATAAATTCTCATGTTGTGCAAGTGCTATGGCTCGCACGGTCGCTCCAAAGGTTTGTTTGAAGAGTGCATTAAGAAAGTTTCAACATTCGGTAGTTGGATCTGGTGGTCGTGAGGGGGTGGCGCCCGAAGTGGCCACAGCTCCAAGTGTCTTGCCCAGTGATGATTCCGCATTTGGTTGACGCGGGAGTCATTCGGCCCAGGCTTTCTTCGTCAGACAACCCTACGGATTCCGAGGGGGGAGGATCGCGGAGCTGACCGCTGGCCTCGCTTGCTCTGCCCTACGGGTCCCTGCGAGCCTCTCTTATCTCGGAGGGTCGTACTTCCCGTGGTTTTGTATCGCCGTTTGGCATCGCCCACCCAGCTGACAGCCTGGTCCGGCCGCGCGGGCCCCCCTCTTTGTGCTTGCGCTGGGAGGCCTTGCATGCGGCGAGGCCATCCGATACTGTGGGGGGCATCCTTTCCCCTCCTCCCTTCTTTTCCCCCTGGCCCGCCTCCCTCTGGATGTGTGTGGCCAGCGGCTCCCCGCCCTGACCACCTCTGTCTCGGAGCTCTTCTTCGGGACAGCGAGTTGCCCGCGCTTGGCGTCCTGGCTCCGCGTGGTAGGCCTCCGCGATTGGGTCCCACATGTGATGCGTTTCTTTGGTGATCCAGCGCGCCCCAATGCAGATGGTTGGGGGGTACCATGTGGGAGTGCGCCCCCTCACTCGCGGAGGTGTTACCCTCAGGCCAGGTCGCCGCTCTCGTCTTCGGAAACAAAGTTGGCGGTTGACTGGCCTCAAAAAGTGCTTACCTCAGCTCGCCTTCATTTCTCTTCATGCGTCTCATTGACCCTACCCTCGTTCTTGTCCTCCTTTTTCTCCTTCTGCTCTTCCCTTCCCCCCTCCTCCTCGTCATCATTTTCATCATGTTTCCCTGTTCCTTCTCCGCTTCTTCCTTGTTTCCCTCCCTCCTTCCCGGGAGGGCGCCAGTGTAGAGAGTAACGAAAGTATCGCACTTGGGTCTCCCGACCGTGCTCTGGGCGCCCGTCCGGGAGGCCGGTCGCCAAAAGTACGGTGCGACGTGCGGAACGCCTGCCCAGGAGGCTGGTGCTCGACGGCACAATGAGATTTGCCCCCCCCCCCCCCCCCTGCCCCCCGACGCGACCCTGCTCGGTCCCCCATGGGATGGTGCAAGTTGCCCCCCCCCCGCGGTTCACAGCAGTTTTCACTGGTAAGAAACTTCCCCCCCTCCTCAGGGCAGGCGGCAGGGGTAGGCGGGTTGGTGGTGTGGCGGGTTGGGCTGGTGGGGCTGCTTGGCTGGTTTGTGGGTTGGGCGGTTGGGCTGGTTGGGCCGGCTGGTGTGCTGTCTCGACCTTTTACGGTTTCGAGTATTAGTGCCAGCGCCACCACGACAACGACTCCTTCAATTACTAGTATTGCTATTCTTTCCGGCTGCCACAGCTTCCACTACCGCTACTATACATACGATTTCTACCACTAAGACTTCTACCGCTGCTACTTCCACACAACGTGGGGGGCTGGGCGATGCTCGGCGGCCTCCCTCTGCTTGGACCGTGAGGCCTGAACGCAGGGCGTGGACGACGACTAAGGTGGCGGCAACGATTGTGCATCGATGGTGCCTGTGGGGGGGAAATAATGTGCGGGGTGGCTCGGGGCGCCGCTTCTCGCTCGTCCGCGGAGGAGGGGGCAACGGTGGGAAGGCGAGGGGATGGGGGGGAGAAGGAGGGCGGTTGGCAAGGATGATGGCGGCGTTGTGGACGCGGACGGCGTTGCTTCGAATGCTGGCGACGGTGGAGGTGGCGGTGGCGCGGTGCTGACGAGGAGGAGCAGCGGTTCCCGAAGCCCTGGGTTTCCCGAGAGGTGTTTCTCGCGGCTTAGGGGCGCCAGGAAGAAGCTTCTCCTCTTGTCTCGCTCCCCCTCCTCCTCCTCCTCCTCCTCCTCCTTTCCCTCCTCCTCCTCCTCCTCCTCCTCCTCCTCCTCCTCTTCCTTCCTCCTCGCCTCCTCCCCCTCTTCCGGCTGCCGTTTTCGAGCCACATTGGGGTGGCTCTGGCACGCAGCCTAATACCTGCCAGGCTGCTTTTCGCCACGGAGTGCACGGGAATCCATGCGAAACCCCGGTCTTATGTGCAGTGGCGGTGGGAACACGCGTCCCTAGGAATCCCAGAATGTGCGCCGAAAGTCATCAGGGTGACTTACAGCACGTTCTGAAATAAATCGTTTCTGGGAAAAAAAGGGGCGCCGGGAAGAAGCATGTAGGTTCGCGAGCCTCAAGAGACCGCTGCTGAGCAGACTGGCGACGCACAGCGTTTTACCCTTCACCCTCCCTGTCCTTGTCTCCCTATGTCCTCCCCTTTTGTTCCCTCTCCTGTTCTTTCCTCCCGCCCCTCCCCCTCCAATGTTTATCCCCCTCCATGTTCCGCTCCCTCCTCCGCTTAGTTGTCCTTACCATCCTGCGCTTACCTCTCGTCCTCATCATCATCCTGATTCTCGCCGTATTTCCTTTCCTTCCTCCTCTGTGTTCGCTGGTCTGCTGGTCTCTTATATCAGGGTGTGGCTTCTCGCTGGTCGGCTGTTGGATAGCGCCTCCCACAGTTGCGCCACAGCTTCCTGTCCGGTAGCGGCACCCAGCTTTGTTGTCTTTCTCCTCACTTATGACATTATCTGACCTTTCTTATGGCAGTGCTACGCGTCATCCGTTTCCTCCGCCTCCCTTTTCTCCCGCGCCCGTCGAAAGGCCCGGTGTTCCAGCAACAGCGACTGCCAAGGAGCGTTGTCGTCGGGGCCGCCGCCGCCGCCGCTGCCTCGTCGTCGCCGTCGTCGTCGTCGTTGTCCTTTGGAGTTCTCCGTAAGTACCCCAAAATCTCAAGAGACCTCCAGAGGCTTCTGGAAATGGTTGCCGCGGTCGTCATCAGGGGCGAAGGATCGGGACGAGGCGGGAGGATGAGGGGGCAGAAGGGGGGAGGGGCGCGGAGCGAGCCTTATGGCCTTGAAGCACATGCTTGCCAGGTGTTGCCGCAGATGTTGCCGTTCGGCCCGCCGTTCGGCCGAGCTCGCGCACATTGGCTTCCGCTCGACGGTGCACAGGAATCTCTTGATGCTTCCAGAGGCGCCTGGAGGCATCTGGAGGCCTAGAGAGGGGCCCCAGACACCAAGAAACCTCGATCCTCGATCCCGAATCCCTCACCCAAGGGGTGCCAGTCCTGATCGGGGATTGTGCTCCGCTTTCCCTCCGTCTCCTCATATGGGCCGCCCCCTCCCTGAGGGTAGGCTGGATGCGGCGGGTCGTGCCTGCCCCATGTCTCTCCTCTCCTTCCCCCGCCCCACTTCACAATTACACAATATGAGAATACTCTCCCACTTCCCCTGATGGCGTCCCGAAGATGGCCGAACCCCCCCCGCGTACAGGATTCCCGGGAAGCGGGTTTTCGCTTGCGTTTTTTTTCAAAATGCTGCTCTCACTGAGGCGCCGGCCTCATTTCTGCTCCCGAATCGTTCCGAATCGTGCTCCCGCTGCAGCGTGGGCCTCATTTTCGGTTCGGTGTTTGGCCTCCGTCGTTCAGGATGGCGTTCTCGCCCCAGCGCGGGCCTCTTTCTCGCGCGCCCATGCGCCCGCCACCACCGCGCCGCCGCCGCCGCACCACCACCACCACCACCACCACCACCACCACCACCACCATCACCACCACCACCACCACCACCACCACCACCACCACCATCACAACCACCACCAGCACCACCACCACCACCAGCAGCACCACCACCACCACCACCACAACCACCACCACCACCACCACCACCACCACCACCACCACCACCACCACAACAACCACGCACACACGCACGCACGCACGCACGCGCACCACCACCCACTACGCACGCGTTCGCGGAGCCACAGGTCCGCTACGACACGCGTCCGCGGATAGAGAAAATCAGCGCCATGTTAAGGGATGGGAGGGAGGGGTAGGACGTCAGATATGACGCGAGCGCACCTAGCTTGCCTACTCCCCCTCTCCCACTCCTCCCCCGTCCTCCTCTTTCTCTTCCTCATCCAGATATCTTGAACGTGGCTGGCTCAGATGCCGTTCTCTCCTCCTCTTCCTCCCCCTCCCGCTGGGTACGATCCGCGCAATTTCTGCTCAAGCCTTGTTTAGGGGCTTCATTGATTTTTTGGGCCCTTCAGCGAGAAGGAGCCGCGCCGCCGCCTGTCCCCCCATTGGCGCCGCGCGCCGCGGAGGCGTGGGGGGTTCGCACACGCGCTGGGAGTGGGGAGAGGGGCGGCACGACCGGGGACGGAAGTGATGCGGAGGGGGAGGAGGAAGGACGAGGAGGGATCAACAAACAGAAGGGGTGGGGGAGGCGGACGAGAAGGCAGGGGGAGAGGGAGGAGGGGGAGGAGAGAGGGGAAGGAGCAGGGTGGGGTGGAGGAGGAGGAGGAGCAAGGTTGGAAGGAGGAGGAGGAAGAGGAGGAGGAGGAAGCAGGAGGTGCAGGAAGGCGGGTGAGAAGGAGGGGGGGGTTGGTGACGGCATCGCTTATGACGATGCCACGAGACCACCACGACGACGCCGTTCACGACGGCGGCGGCGGCGAAGACGATGGCTCGGCGACGGCGGCGGGGCGCCTGCCCAGGGCA